AGAGAGAGAGAGAGAGAGAGAGAGAGAGAGAGAGAGACTCACAGTCCAGAAAGTCATTGTTTTTTCCACCTAGCTTTACTGCCTGTGGGTTTGTGAGGTTTCTTCCCCGACTATAGATGCTTCTCTGTCCATATACACCAGGCTGTGACAACCATCCAAGCTAACACGTGTCCTTGCTCATGTTGGTAAATGGAGAAAGCAGTTGGAAAGTTTCTGGGCCAATTAAACTGCAGCATTTGCTCCCAAATTAAGAAAAATGAAAAAAAGAAAAATGGTTGGATGTTGGGACAAAGGCAAAGGCCAATAATTTTCAATGTCCAGAGTGCATTATTCAAAAGCAGACATTAGCTGAAAAGTCTCCATACTACTAACAAGCTCTTTCCACTATAAACAACCTGCAAATATGAGTATAAAAATAAATAAAACACTCTTAGATATTTATTTTTAAAAAAGAGTTTACAAAGAGTCTTCTCAATTACCTTTTAAACTTTACCCTTTGAATTAAAAAGTATTTGTTTTCATCCTGCAGATGAAGAAACAGACATTTACAGAATTTTCAGAGTTACATGTCTACTAAGTGGCAGATCTAGGAGTCAAACACAGGTCTTTTTACACCAAGTACGAAGTAGGAATTGTTAGAAGGGTGAGCCAGGAGGAGGATGTGACTAGAAGTTCTGGTAATTGACATGTTACCCTGATGTTTTCTGATCAAAAGAATGTCACAGTCAGAGTATGTTTAGGAAAGTCAAACTTTCAGCAATGTATAAGATAGATGAAAGAAGAGAGAGACATGAATTTGCAAGATTAGTTAGGCTATTGCATTAATCTGGAGAGGGAATAAACTCTGAACTAAAAGAATGATAATAAGAATGAGAAAAATGATATGTAAGAGTCTAAAGATGTGCAAAACAAGAAGAGGAAGAAGATTAAACATGATTTTTCACAGTACTAGAAATTGAACCTAGAACTTCAAGCATTCTGGCAAGCACTCTACCACTGAGCTACAGCCCCAGCCTACTAAAAATGACTTTTAATTTCAAACTTACAGTTTGTGTGTTTGAAATTAAACACACTGTGTCACTGTGTGTGTGTGTGTGTGTGTGTGTGTGTGTGTGTGTGTGCGTGCACATGCCTACACAGGCTTATACAACAGAAGAAAAATAGCCTTGTAACCCAAAGTGATCACCTTACTTTCAGGCAGGAGTACTTTTAGCTACTTGAAGGATGTCTATAAAGCAATAATTTGGCACCTTACTGGTATCTACTGGAAAGGATGGGACACTTGTGAAGCACTATGTCAAAGCCATCTTAAGCTCTCCTGGGAGGACGTCATTTAGTTTTTCATTGCCTCTTAGTTTTTGATAAAATATGAAGTTTTAATCATGATGATTTTTCAGAAGACAAGGGATTGTCGGATCAGGTTAGGGTGTTAAATAGATTTACCAAAATTCCCGTGCTCTTGCCAAAGCAGTGGGCGATGTGAAGGTAGAGATAGGGACCTCTCACTAAGGGATAGCTCAAGTCAGGGTGGAGAGAGGAGTCCTGGAGAATTGGTAGCAAATGGTATTGTATAGCCAGGTTAGGGGATAAAGATGCTCAGGCTCTAATAGTTCAGCCCTTATCTAAGTAGTGGCTGAGGTGAGGGCCGTAAGGGTTCTCTTATCATCCTACTTGCTCAAAGACTAGGTGGGCTAGGCCAGTGGAGAAGTTGAATTCCCTGGTATCAGATAGCATATGCTGCATGTTGGCCAGTTTTTAGAGGACTAAGAAGTAGAATGAAACCAGCTATCAGATTTGTGGCTTATTAAGTTCATCTATTGAAACTGACTTTGCTATTTTTATAATTTCATTTGTTGAGGCTAAGTGAAAGGCCGCATAGAGCAGAGGGCAGTTGGGAAGCTGTGCTTGCCACACTTACCCACTGATTTCACTTTTCCTGCTGCTCTAGCTGACCCTGGCCTTTTATGAGCTCCCTCCCCCATGTACTCTATGAGCTTCCAGCCAAGGAGATAGAATATCCAGCTGCTTCTGGCACCTACAGTGAAACTCTTGAAGTGTCTTTTTAAAACTTGTTATATTCCTGTAAGAAAACATGTAGTAAAGTTTGGGTAACACTTGCAGTGGAGAAGAGTTGGGGTGATTTTCCTGAGGCTTGTAAGCTGATTTCTTTAAGCCACTGTTGTCTAAATGTGTAATTGAAATTCACATGTGTTATGTGTCTGCACTGGGAATATTGAGTATTAGAAAAAAATTGAATTTCTAAGGTTTTCTATATATAGATGATGCTTAATTGGTGAACAAGTTTATCAGTGTCAATGTCTTTGGCTGCCAACTAGGGAAGGTGACTGATAAGGGCCTGCTTGTCATGTAAAATTTCTTGAATTATGTAGATAACTATACAGTGCTGAATCCCTCCATCAGTTAAAGAAAGAAAAAGCTACCTCTTATAATGTAAAAGCTATATCTCTGATAAAGTCACTATTGCATGCCAACTTATAACTCCTGCCCAAAGACAGCCTACTTATGTTACCATGTTATATGGGCCTCAGCCCCACCTGGCCCTTAAAGATTGGTTATCAGATATTTTAATCTACTTGTGGAGCTATTGGTAATGTCTTACAGCTATTTGGATTTTTTTAGGTTATAATCAGTGAAAGTTGTGGTAATCGATGTTTCTAGCAATACCACTGTGGCTTTCCAAGTTAATCTGTGTATCATTTTATTTAGTGGACATTCCACACATCTGACTGTCAAATCTTAATTGCATTGTCAAATTTGTATTTTGAATATGTTTAATACTGTTTGGTTATAAGGGTTGTTCCCAGTAGACAAATGATATGGTTTGATTTGATTAGAATAGTGGGACAAATGTATGTGCAAGACCCCACTCGTTCTCTCAGCCCAGTTATGTGGTATGAGTAAAGTAGTGTAGGGTGCCAAAGCAAGGGGAAAGGTAGAAGGGAAGGTTGCTATCTTGCTTAAAAAGTTAGTGGGGCCAGGCGTGGTGCATGCCTATAATCCTAGCACTTAAGAGGCTGAGACAGGAGGATGATTATTGCAAGTTGAGACCAGCCTGTGCTACAAAGTGAGCTAAAGCCAACCAGAGCTGCATTGTGAGATCCTGTCTCAGAAAGACCAAAAAGAAAAAAAAAAGGTAATAGAGATAAGAGTGATGAGGGACCCTATTTATATTAGTCTGTTTTGTGCTGCTATTTGAAAATACCTTATACTGAGTACTTTATAAGTAAAATTTATTTGCCTCACATATCTGGTGGTTGGAAGGTCCAAACAGCATACCAGTGACCTATCAAGGGCCCACTGGCTGCATCACAACATAGCAGAGAAGCCAGAAGGGAACAGGGCCATGTGCAGACAGAGCCAATCACACAGGGTCACCTCATTTTATAGCAACTCACTGTAATGAGAACTAACTCTCTCCTATCGTACTTGACAGCATTAAAATCTCTTCCAAGGGCACCATCCCCAAATACCTAATTACCTTGCACTATGTTCCACTCTCAAAACTTTTACTACCTCATTACTACCACACTGGGGACCAAGCTTTCAATACATGAACCTTTGGATGATAAACCATATCCAAATCATATCATTATCCTACAGCCTGTACTGATAACCCTTCTACTCAAGCCAGTGAACCTACTGTGGTTTGTATCTAGTTGCACCCAAAGCCTCATGCAGTCACTGGGTTGGCTTCCAGAGTTTGTGATTAATTCATGATCCAATGTGGGTATTATGGGTGTGAGTGCTACACATGCCCTGGAATGGGTAATCTGCATACAGTATATGGAAAGGAAAGAGGCTTGCTAGCTGCTGCCGTCACTGCTGCTCCTCCCTTTGCACTTTGTTGTTTTCCACTGCCATGAACAGCTGCCCTCTGCCATGTGTCATTCTGCCTTGGAGCCAGCCAACTATGGACTGAAACCTCCACTATGAGCTAAATAAACCTTTCCTTCCTTAATTTTGGGGGTTGGTTATTTTATACCAGCAATGAGAGAAGAGTAACTGGAAAAGAACCCTAATCAGACTTCTGAGCTACATATGTCAATATTAAACTAATATCTGTGGCCAAAAGATGTAGCTATTAGACAGTGGCATCCCTAGAACTGGGGACATGGTGCATATGTTAGAATATGGCTAAACTTGATATTTTATAGCTTTAAATAGTTAGCACATAATGAAGATTTAACTCAGGAGGAATTGTGATCTATTTATTATTTTTTACTTTTAATCGATGTTCTCCATTTTATAAATGGTAAGCAACCTCATCTTTAAGATTGTTACAGAGAGCGTAGAATTGTTCTTTCTCTCTAAGCATGCTTGCTACCATTCCCTGATTCTTTCCATAGTCTTCATACTATATAAAGAGGTGATAATGTCTGCATTCTTTAAACAGAGGAGGTAGTGTGAAAAATAGAAAATAAAATCATTCTGAATCAACCATAAAGTGTATAATGTGCATCTGTTCTTTTTTTTTTTTACTAAAATTGCTGATTCAACCTATCTCTGTAGCTACCCTGTACTATATGTGTTCCTGAGTAGTAAAGTAGCTAAAAGACCAGAATAAAGCAAAATCAGAGCAAAGTGATTTATAAATAGGAATACTTTTCTTTTTCTTTTTTTTTTGCGGAACCGGGGATTGAACTCAGATCCTTGCGTTTGCCAGTCAAGCGCTTATCCTACTGAGCCATCTCCCTGGCCCCAAGGAATACTTTTCTTACAGATCCTAAACTTAAAGGGGTAAAGGCATATTGCAGATCAGTCGTTATATGAAATTTAGAAATCAGCTATATGATTCTTCATATGTGTTGTTCTCTCTACCTCAGTAAGTGCAGTAGTGTTAATGCCCAACACTTACCTTCTGTGATGTCTACAGGAGGGACATAAGGACAATTTTTCATGTCTTGGGGGGCACTGAACTAGAGATTTTGATAGAATGTCAGAAGGGAGTATCTAATATCACAGATTTCTGCCTTTTGCAGATAATGCTGTAGATCCAGATGTATCAGCCAGGACGGTCTCTATAGATGTTGAAGAGATCAAAAATAAATCCTGTTTGACTTTTACTGATGATGGAAGTGGGATGACACCTCACAAACTCCACCGAATGCTCAGGTAAAATTGTCTTCATTCTCTTTCTCCCATCCTGAGCTCATGAATTATATTTAAAACTTAAACAGTTTCTTTAATATTTCACTTTCCTTTTGTTCATTCAGCAAATATTTATTAAGCATAGCTTAGTGCCAGGGTATAGGTGATGGAACTAATATTGTTCCTGTACTCATAGAACTTACAGTCTAGCTTGCAATTCAAATAGCTAGGCAATCAAGTGATCATAATAAAATGTGATGAGGATGATAGGAAAGCATAGAATGCATGTGATGAATCAATAGGAAACCCTAATGTGATTGCATAATTTAATAAATACCTCCATGATGAAATGATACTTATACTGAGATCTCAGAGTGAGTAGAATTTAAGTAGATAAAAAGGACCAGGGAGGGGCCAGGGAGATGGCTCAGTAGAATAAGCGCTTCCCTGGCAAGCGCAAGGGCCTGAGTTCAGTCCCCGGTTCCACCAAAAAAAAAAAAAGAAAAAAGGACCAGGGAGCAAAGAATGAGAGTTTAGGTAAAACAACAGCAAGTATAAAGATGTGAGGACCTTCACTGGTCTCCAATCTTAATGAACCAAAATTCACTCTTAAATCAAAAGTATTAGAGGTGGGATGATTTGTGGATTAGAACCATGAACCATTAGAACCATTATACCATTGGCCATAATCAAACCTATAAAAGATCAATAGAAGACACTGACACAATATTGGAAAATTTTGCGGTAGAATTGCAAAGTTAGGAATTTCTCTTTTATGTTGAAGCTGGTAACAGATTTGCCACTCGCAATTCACTTACATTACAAGGTTTGTAGTTAAGAATGTAAGTTTGTACTTTATTATCTTCATGTATCACTCAGTGTGAGATGCATATTTTCTCAACCCCCTCTGTCTTTCTTCCTTTTTAGTAGTTCAAGTTGATTACTGTCCATGCGGCTTCCTGAACTAGAGTGTGTGAAGCACAAGTAATGATGGAGAGTGCTGAGGAGGAGGGAAAGGGCTCAGAGCCCTAGAAAGAGAAACCAAACTCATTTGGTCATAGTTCTTTCTGAAGGTATTCTAAATTAATAACACTGTAGGGAAATTCCTTTGATACATCAAAGAAACAAAATGAAATTTGTTCAAAGTAAGTAGTTACATTTTACTGCTAAGCAGTATGTATATTGTGTCTCACACTTCTCATAATTAGAATGTTTGAGGAAAGCGTCTAGAAGTAAGACAGAAATGTGACTAGTGCATTTGTGAAAGCAGAGAGTTGGTCCCATCCTTTTAACTTATAACATCAATTTTATCTCCTAAATGTAAAAAGAATTAAAATGTGTTTTGTATGTGTACCAATTTCCAACAATGAAAATAATTATTATGTACTATAAGCATAAACCTAAAAAATAAAAATGATAATTTTAGATTTTAGATGGAATGTCTAGTTCTGTGTGTACTAAAATCAATGATCAGTTATCAGTTTTTCCCTAAAATCAATTGCTGCCGCCTTCTTACTCTTCTCCTCCTTCTCCTTCTTCATCCTTCTCCTTCTCTCCTTCTCCTTCTTCTCCTCCTCCTTCCCCTTCCCCTTCTCCTTCTTCTCCTTCTCCTTCTCCTCCTCCTTCTCCTCCTCCTCCTTCCTCTTCCTCTTCCCCTTCCTGTTCCTCTTCCCCTTCCCCTTCCCCTTCTCCTTCTCCTTCTCCTCCTTCTTCTTTTTCCCTTCCCCTTCCCCTTCTCCTTTTCCTTTTCTTTTCTTTTTGATACCAGGAATCAAACTCAGGACCTTGTGCTTGCCTGGCAGGCACTATGCTGATGACCTATATCCCAGCCTTCAATTACCTTCCTAATTACTTCTTTGTACTACACCCTATCCTAGTGACATGGGTGTCAAATAGTAGGCCCAGCAAATCCAGTCACCCTCCATTTTGTCTGTGGAACTATATATGTGAAAATTGGTATAGGTACAAGTTAGAAGGAAGAAGATGATTTTAAAATAATTACAACAAGTTTTGTTTCATATTGACTCACTTATTCATTAAGTGAATTCTTACTGAGGACTTATGTGCAAAAACACAGGAAAATAAAGTTGAGAACCAGACAGACATCTTTGCTCTAAAAGTGCTGACAGTTTAGTAAGAAAGAAAAGTTGACTAATAATACATCTAAATAGGCTGTTCTACACAGGGGCAAGTTTGTGAAGCAAGAATATAATTTCTCTGAGCGTATACCACAGGGGGATCTAATCTAGCTTAGGGAATCACGAAAGGATACCATGAGATATTTAAATTACAATTTAAATGGATCAGTATATCCGTTCAAAATTTTGTTCCCTCCCCAAGAAACAAATTAGGTTGAAACTTCTTTAGCCATAGTATTAACCCTATGATGCCATATATGTTTCCTGCTATTTGTCCTAGGCAATTGTTCCACATACTTAGAAATTTACTAATGAGACAATTTTAATGAGTTCTTAATAGAATATATATATATATATATATATATATTATATTTTATTTATGATTGTATGTTAAACTTGAATCAGCTGCAAGATATCATTTTTTTTAGTTTTTAAAGAGAGTACAAATTAGAATTAAAACAAAAAACAAGTGAAAGAGAATTTCACTTAACAAAGTAATATGAATTTCACAGTATTTGTTGTAATACGTGGTGTTGTCTTCTGACCAATTATTCATATTACCAGATATATGCATGTAAAATTGGAATAAAAAAAGAAATATATAAGAAATTAAGAAGAGAAAGAGTACAAACAATTGAAAAAAGGAGACAAAACAAATTATCTGCTCCTTTCCATAGACCATCAGAAATGCACAGTACAGGCCGGGGAGATGACTCAGTGGAATAAGCGCTTCCCTGGCAAGCACAAGGGCCTGAGTTCAATCCCCGGTTCCAAAAAAAAAAGAAAAGAAAAGAAAAGAAAAAAAGAAATGCACAGTACAGTTGTCCAAACCATCCTGCTCACATACATAAATAAAATCTCTTTCCCCCACTCGCTGTCCTGTCCTTCTCAACTCAGTAACAGGGTACAATAGATACTGGGAAAAAGAATGAATTTATTCAAAAGATATCATTTATTTAAAAGAAATAAGGGGCTGGGGAGATGGCTCAATAGAATAAGTGCTTCCCTGGCAAGTGCAAGAGCCTGAGTTCAATCCCCAGTTCCGCCAAATAAATAAATAAATAAATAAATAAATAAATAAATAAATAAAAAAAATAATTTAGTCATGCTAACTTCTAGCCAGGAATTCCACTTACCCTAACTTCTTTTAAATTGATTGCGCCAGGCATGGTGGCACATGCTATAATCCCAGCACTCAAGAGCCTGAGGCAGGAGGATTGCTATGAGTTCAAATAACCATATATACTTATTTCATATGGTAGATAAGACCCTCATGTATCAAGACTTCTGAGTTTCAGATGCAACACTAGATCTAAAACAGAGGTAGGGAGTAGCACATGACAGTTCTCTGAATGAATTTTAGAATTAGTTTAAAATTAAAGTTTGAGGAAGGGATTTAGAGACAGAGGGAGAGAGGTGGGTGGAAAGGGGAAGACAATTAAAACAGAATCAATCTGTGTTACATATATGTACCCATTCCCTAAGATGAATGTAGGCCTCACGAACTAAAAACATGTACTAATAAAATAAAAATGTGAATTTTAAGTTTGAAGGTTAAAATGAATACATTTTGTATATAGTATATAATTTAATTCACATAATGACCCCCTTCTTCGCTAGCCAATTCTTCCACAGGAGGAAAATGAGAATGTCTAAAACTTACCAATTTATAAGTCTGTTCGTGACATACCAAGACTCATAGACAATACTAACTCAGTGCTCTTTAGGGCTTTTCGAAGGAGCACTTCTCTAGAAATTACCTTTCTCTGTTATTAGATTTACTTATAGGATAAAGTGTCTACTTTGAAAAACAAAATTGTATTACTGTGTAACACTTTGAGATAGAAAATTAAAAGGTCTCTTTTCTTAAAAAGTTACAGCCTTCAGGATATGGAAAACAGATACTTTGACCCTTGTGGCTTGAAAGAGAACAGCTGACACTAAGCAGTTTGTGATAGAGGCTGTTTTATTGATGTTGCATAATTTTATTGATGTTGTCTAATCTGTGTTATTCAATCTTTCCCTAGACTAGAAACTTTGAGGGCAAGAATCATGTCGTTTTTATTAACAATCATATCTCTAGTGCTTAACTCAATGTGTAGCACATAGAAAAATGTTCAATAAATACATACTGAATGCATAATAGTCTACATCATTTTAAAATTAGTCTTTCTGGAAAGAAAGAATCCTTAAATATATTTTTGTTTGAGATTAAGGAAGATAAAGATCATATTTTCTAGATTTATATCTTTGAGATTTTTAGTTTCCATTATTTTGGTATGTGTTTGGATAGAAAGTAAAAGAAAAGATTCTGACTCCAAGATTAAGCTGACTATAAGAGGCTAAAGAGTTTGCTGTGTTGACTCAGTGAAAGGACCTTAATAGAACAAGAGAGATATTATACTGCAGCTGTTTGCAGATATTCAGGGGCAGAACTACTTATTTATATCTCTTGGTCATATTCCAGTGGACTCTCCCTGAAGATGGAGCAAAGGGTAAAATTGGAAGGTTCATCATTTGGGTAGAGTTAAAATTATCCAGATACATACCATATGATCATACCTGAGGTCATAGCTGATGCTTGTAATCCCAGAATTTGGGAGGCTGAGACAGGAGGATCACTATGAGTTTGAGGCCAATCTGGGCACCATAGGGAGTTCATGGCCAACCTGAACTATATAGTGAGGCTCTGTCTTTAAAAAGGAAAAAAAAAAAACCCAAAATACTAACAAACTAACCAACCAAAAAAAGATGCATGGTCTTTAACTCAAATTTCTAGAGGGAGATAAAACCAGATTAGGAAATATCCAGTATAAAACCTTTGACTGTTGCCATTATTGGATACTTTTGTTACCTTCTCTAGGTAACAAAAGTATCTTACTGTCTTACTATCTACACTTTGTATCTTACTGTCATTTCTAGAATCAGGGCCATTTTATCTAGATAAGAAAGATAGCTAGCTACACATGGCCTTTTCTAGCTATCTTTGTTAAACCAGCAAAATGGGCCTTCTTTGCATTTTTAAAAGTATGGCCCTAAGGAAGTGGAACTGTTGTTAAGTATACACAAACTACACAAGAACATCTGTGCCATTACCCTAATAATAATATCCTGTGTTTTTTTTCTCTGAGTGCCTTCAGGGCAGGTTTGTCTGGCTTGAGTTCTTGGGATCGAACCCCCTATGTTTTAAACTTAATAGTTCTGCCTGGAATACCATAAGGAATAAGAAAGGAAGAACTTGTACAAATGTTTCTCATATGTAAACCAAGCATTTTGCCTGTAACCTAGCTTAGGGTGCCTTTTAACCTTTTTTTCTTTTCAGATTTCTCTTTTCTTTTATAATTACAGCTTTGGCTTTACAGATAAAGCAATAAAGAAGAGCCAATGTCCCATTGGGGTCTTTGGTAATGGTTTCAAGTCGGGCTCCATGCGGCTAGGAAAGGATGCTCTTGTCTTCACCAAGAATGGGGGTACTCTTACTGTTGGACTCCTATCACAGACCTACCTGGAATGTGTCCAGGCCCAGGCAGTTATTGTACCAATTGTTCCATTCAACCAGCAAAACAATATCCTTTCTGTAAATGGAGCATATTAGTTAAAAATTAGTCTAATCTATGTTTTTTTTTTTAGGGGGGGGGGTTTGCGGAACCGGGGATTGAACTCAGCCCTTGCACTTGCCAGGGAAGCACTTATTCTACTGAGTCATCTCCCCGGCCCCAGTCTAATCTATGTTGATAAAAAAAACTTTTATCAGGTCAAATCCTGTTTGAAAATCTTGTTTCAAATAACTTCTCATATATAAAGAGGTATTCAAATGTCTTAACTTTAACTGGAATTTTCTATTAAGTATTCTTAAAGTAAGTAGACGACTGACAGAGCTTAATGATGCTTTTGCTATATTGAAATTTTCATTGTTATGCAGTTTGATTTATGTGTGGTGTCTCTCTACAACCACCCTATGGTAAAGTTTCCAGGGTCTTTTTTCCCTGCTAAGGATAGCTATATTTGTGTTTATTTTCCTAAAAACATACTATTTGTAGCTTATCTGATAGCAAAATAGCTCATTGTCCTATGCCTAGATGAACTGTTATTTCTGTTACATGCCAGGTTGTTTTGATGTGAGCAGCATGGCAGTTAGGATTTGAACTTACTGCTTCCAAGCAGTTTAAAAGTTTAGCATTTGATCTTTCTGATAAATATAGCACTATCTTTATTTACACTGCATCTTTGAGAGTATATTCTGCAAACATAACGGATATTCGTATTTGTTTCTACACCTTTTCCTTCTGTAGCAGTAGTACCCAGGTTTCATGTCTGTATTTTTTGTCTAGACATGCAGCCCAAAAAGTGCTTTTCCTTCTTGATAGCATCTTACAATAATAGTTTTTCTTTGACTGGTTTTACAAAAAATGATTATTACAGAAGATTCCTTGCCCAGTCTAGAAGCCATCTTGAACTATTCAATTTTCAACAGTGAAAATGACCTGCTGTCCCAGTTTGATGCCATCCCAGGCAAAAAAGGCACTCGGGTTCTCATTTGGAACATCCGACGGTATAGTATCCCAAGGGTGATAGATTCTGACAACCGAAGGTATTATGAGCAAGCACATTTTAATACATATTTATAGAGAAGTGTAGATAAATTCTGTTATACGTATCTGTTTCACAGCATGACTTTAATTTTTTCTTAACTCTGTTTAAGATAGCAATTCTTTTTGGTAAATTATCTGCATTTAAGTTAAAAACACCCATGTTCTGGGACTGTTGCCACAAATAAGGCAGTGCAGTTATTCTAACATCCCCAGAATTCCCTGTAGATATATATTTCATATTTATGGACTTTAAGATTAGTAAATGATAATTTTCCACTTAGACCAACTATATTGTCTTATTTCTTGGTAAAACTAAGCAATACCAATATAAACAAAGAGTACTTAAAAAGAAAAAGGAAGGAGTGCTCACAAGGATATTCTCTGTGTCCAACTGGACATACTCTCAACACTGTACTATAATTTGTATTACAAAGGATCAATTTCCTTAGGGATTTTCAATGCAAGTACTAGGCAGACTTTCTTTGTACTTTATTTCTCAGTTTTATGGTACTAGGTGTTATAGAAATAAATTACATGGTTAAATTTGGGGAAAACTGACAGAGTTTATGGTGTTGCTTTGTTTGAAGTCTTTTGAGGCTGTTATATGCTACTTTACATTGAACATACTTAAAAGAGTAATATACATGTAGATTTCCTAACTGTAGACCTCTTTTTCTTGGTTGGAGAAAATGAGGAGCATGGGAGGCAGGGAACTATCTCAGGGTATATGTGCTAGAGTAAAAAACCAGAATATGCTGTATAGTGGCATGGGCTTTTTGTAGACTACATGCAACAGGGAGCTTCTTTCAGCTCTGAGAGTATGGCTAAATTTTAATTTTTTTCTTAAAATTATTTTATTCATTTATTTGGAAAAGAGTCTCGCTATGCAGCTCAGACACATAGTGATCCTCCTATCTCAGCCTCCCCAGTGCTGGGATTACAGGCATGTACCACCACAGCCAGTTTCAGTGGCTGGCACGGCACACTCAGGGTTCCAGGGCCAGCACAGCATGCGGTACTGAGGGCCAAACCCATGTCCTTGTGCTTCCAGGCAAGTGCTTAGACCACAGAACTATCTCCCTAGAGCTAAATTTTTAACATAGCAGCTTTGAGCTTGTAGAACCTGAAAGGTGACAGAGGTATTGATTGAGGTTATTCTGAAGTCTTATTTTTGGTTTTATTTAATCGTACAACTTTTCTTTATTTTTTATTTATCTGAAGGGACTAATGTTCCATAGAGCAAATTTTTGGAACTGTTGTCCTAGAAAAACAAGTATATACGTATATATTCATATTCCAGAATTTATTTTGAGTTTTTCCAGGAACAAAGGTGGGTCTTACCTTTTTCCAGGGCAGTGCTTAATGTAGCCCAGGGTCTTAGACTGAACCAAACCTAAGTGGCCATAAAAGATTATGGGAATAAGAAAGTTCCTTAGGAGTATAAGCACTGTTACATTGAAGTACTAATTCCATAAATCATATACTTGAGGACTAGTAAATATGTACTGTTTCTATGATCTTTATTTTATTTTACAATATTTGATTGAATCTGTGGACATAGTTTCTCATTAGTTCTTATACTATTGCTGAAGTTAGTAGTAGATTTTGATTCATCCATTTATTTGGGGAAAGTAACATTAAGTGATTTATCCAATAGTACCCAGATGGGGCTGGGGAGATGGCTCAGTGGAATAAGCGCTTCCCTGGCAGGCGCAAGGGCCTGAGTTCAGTCCGCGGTTCCACCAAAAAAAAAAAAAAAAAGAATAGTATCCAGAAAGTTGAGCTCTATTTGAAGAGTCTGAAGCTAACTGACACCAATTTGATTTATCAAATTATAGGAATTTTCTCACCTTTTCTCTTTTTACAAATTTGGCATCACCACCACTATGAAGCATAATAGATTTCTTTAGACTAGAAATGCCTTAAATAATGTATGATCCTCAAATTAAGTGATTTATACTTTTTTGCAATGGTCGTCAGGGGAAAACAAAAACAGATATCTGATATTAGTTCATATTGTCTTCTCTCTTGGGTTCCTAGTGCTTTTTTGTCCTTTGGAGCTAGTTTTTGTTAGATTGGTACTTGTTTCTTTTACCCAGAAACAAAGATGGAAAGTCTGAGTTAGACTTTGATACAGATCAGTATGACATCCTGGTATCAGACATTGATGCAGAAGAAAAAGAGACTGGTGGTGTTACCTCTGAGCTGCCAGAAACAGAATATTCCTTGCGGGTGAGTAACAATTGCTTTTCTTCAGCAATGAGGTAAGATGTCCTAAAACATGAAATATTATAGAACATTGAAGTACACTGTATAAAGATGACAACATTTTAGGATTCCTTTTTAGATCTGCATTCAGATAGGTTAGATAACATAGCAGGTTTTGTTTTGTTTTGTTTTGTTTGTACCAGGATCATACTCAGGACCTCAGCGTTGCCAGGCAGGTGCTGTGCCACTGAGCTATATGCCTGGCACTCATAGCAGCATGTTTCATGTGGTAGTTGACGTAGTGTAAGATACAGAAACTGAGCCAAATCTTTGTCTAGAAGAAACGCACTTAGCTAGCAATGTTTTATGGGGGTATATGGTATAGTGACGTTCCCTTCACTGTTCCATAGGCATTTTGTAGTATTCTATATATGAAGCCACGGATGAAAATTTTTCTGCGTCAAAAGAAGGTGACTACCCAGATGATTGCTAAGAGCCTGTCCAATGTAGGATATGATATATATAAGCCTACCTTCACTGTATCCTTATACCTACATGTAATTGACCTTTTCATTGCAGGATTGTATTACTAGGTTGGCATAAAAAAGCTCCAAAACTTGCTTTTTCTAATTCAGAATTGTATGTGATGTAAATATTATACTGTAGTCTAAGGAAGTATTTTTTTTTTATTTTATTTATTTATGTGGGGGGGCAGCTCAGCCCACCAGGGGGCGGGGCTGGCTGGCATGTGTTGCTGGGGGATTGAACTGTGGTCCCTGTGTTTTTTTGCTAAGCTTGTTCTAAGTAGGTGCTTTAGACCACTGAGCCATCTCACCAGCCCCTAAGGAAGTATTTTTTAAATGTTAACCTATGTACTAGTTTCATCAGAAACCATAGGGAAACTGAAATAAGAACCCTGATATTTTGATTCAGTACATTTTTTTCTTTCTTTTCTTTTCTTTTCTTTTCTTTTCTTTCTTTTTTTCTTTCTTTCTTTCTTTCTTTCTTTCTTTCTTTCTTTCTTTCTTTCTTTCTTTCTTTCGTACTGTGGATTTAAATCCAGGCACTTGTACTTTATTTTATTTTAATGTTAAAAGAAGATACACAATAAAAACAGTGCCATAAAATTTCAAAACAAGATTGGAGTACAGTAACACTGTTTACTACATTACATATTATCTTCAAAGTAATTGCTCATATTATAAGATGCAGGCATGAAAAAATGATCAAACAATATATGTATAAACCTTTCTTTTTAATGAACTAATGCTAGTTAATAGTTTATCGTTTGTGTGTTTTTCCTTTTCCCTTCTTTTTTCCTTTCTTCTATTCCTGTTTCTCTTTCCTTTTGAGCAGTTTCCTCCCATTTCACAATATCTGTTACACATTTTGAGTCTTATTTACTCTTTCAAATTCTTACACTAGGGAGACAGTATGATGTTGACACATATGAGCCTGATTTATTTCACTTATGAGGGTGGTCTCAAATTGGATCTATTTCCTTATAAGTATCTCAAGTTTATCCTTCTTTATAGCTGAGCAATATTTCATTATATAAAAATACCACATCTTTTTTATGCATTCTTTGGTTGATGAGTATTTGCATGCTTCGAAGACTGAGCTATGACAAATTGTGCTGCTCTATTCTTGGGTGCACATATATCATTGTAGTAGGATGTTTTCAATCTTTCCGGGAAAATACTCAGAAGAGAAATAGCTAGGTTGGAATGAGACCTCCAATCCTGTGTTTTTTTTTTTTTTTTTTTTTTTGGTACTAGGAATTGAACTCAGGACCTTGCCCTTGCCAGGCAGGCCATTATGCTGAGAATCCTAGTTTTTTGAGGAATCTCCAGACTGACTTCTACAGTGGTTGCACCAGTCTACATTGATACCAAGAGTGGAGAAGGATTCTTTTTTTCCCCACAGTCTATCATTTGTTGTTAGTTGATTTCTTGATGATTGCCATTCTTTTGGGGGTGAGAAAGAATCTCAGTGTTGTTTTAATTTTCATTTCTTGTTTGACCAGTGACACTGAGCATTTTTTACATATTTCTTTTCCATTTGTATTTCTTCATCTGGGAAGTGCATATTCATCCCAGGTGACCATTTTTGGACTGGGTATTTGAAATTTTGGGGTTTGATCTTTTTTGAATTTCTTATATATTCTAGACAGAAATCCTTTGTGTGAGGGACAGTTAGCTAAAATTTTTTCACACTAAGTGGGTTGTCTTTTCACTCTGTTGGTGATTTATTTTAATATGAAAAACATTTTTAATAAATGAGATAACAGCTGTTGATTCTTTGAAGTATTTCCCATGTAGTTTGAGTTTTGTTCATGAAGTCTCTGCCTACCTCTCTGTCTTGAAGACTTCTACGTCTTTTCTCTTCCAGTAGATTTAGTGTTTCTGTTTTAATATTTAGATCTTTGATCCATTTTGACTTAGTTTAGAGCATGGTAATAGATGTGGATCTAGTTTTAGTCTTCAACATGTAGAGTGCCAGGTTTTCCAGAACAATTTATTAAAGAGATTTTTTTCTGGTGAACATGTTTGGCCCCTGTGTCAAAAATAAAGTGGCTGAGTATGTTTCTAGTTTGATCTGCATCTTTTAATCTGTTGCACTGGTTCTCAGACCTATTTTTTGTCAGTAGTATGTTGATTTTATCTCAGTAGCTTTGCAGTAGTTTTGCTTTTCCTTTATGTTTTCTCTAGTTCTGTCAGTTACATTAATGATATTTTGATCCAGATTGCATTAAATCTGTATAACCATCTTGAGAGTATGGTCATTTTCACAATGTTGATTCTTCCTATCCATCAGCAAGGACTATCTTTCCATTTTCTGATATCCTTTTCAATCTTTTTGTAGCGTACTAT